GGCTCGAGTGAACAGCTCCCTCCTCGGCCGGATGCCGTCGGCCCTCCTGCGGGCAGGGCTCGGACCGGGTGGCCTCCGGGAGTCCCCGCTAACCCAGTTCGACATCTAAAGCTGTGAGTGTGGGTTGAGTGAAACGGAGGAACACGAGGAAAAATGTAATGGGGGAAGGGGATTTTTTTTTTCCTTCTGAATTAATTAGTCACCTTCCAAATGGAAAATCAGATAATACTGTAGGCCAAGTTAGTTCCAATTAATTTAGTATATGTTGTACTCTAATAAGAGTGCGGTAAATTTATTGCTACCTTTCCATTTATGTGTGCAGCAGCCATAAAATTCCCATTACTTTTCTTAATCAGTTTTGCGTTTCCTTCTATGAAGCTTTGAATGGAAGCTTAGGTATTTTTGCTGTGTTCCTCCTCTCTGTTCTATGCCGAAATGTGGTGGTCATTTATGTACCGCTCCAAGTGGCCAGACAAATAGGAAGGGCTCAAATTGCATCCTTTGTGCTTTAGATACACTTAGGTTTAGTTTCTCAAAGTGCTACCCAATCCAAATTTTCAAGAGGTTTTTCAGTTGCCCCTATTTAAATACTGCCTAGTACTTGTATGGCATGATGTAATATTACTCATTCTCCCGGTAGGAGAACTGGAAGTGTGCGAGTTAAGTTTTGAGTAGTTTAGTGATAAGCAGACTAATCTTCATAGTTTTTAATGATATTTTTTGCTTTTCTTTGTTTTACTGTGTGTTTTTAAAGTTTCTGGACACTTACTTCTGAGGAAACAGAAGGAAAATAATATTCTTAAATCACCCGTGTTCATGGCCATAGGAGGGTTATGGCTCCCAAATACATTCACATTCACAGATCTAATGCCAGTGTGGGCTCTAATATCCATGCCTAGAACCTTGGCCCTTACCCAGTATGCAGGGCCTCCCCTTCTTACCAGCTAGTCTGGCTTGATGTTTGGTAGCAAAACAGATGTGCACACTCATGCACTGTTCTCATAAGCACCCCTTGCTCATGCATCCCTCAAATATTAGATCACCAGCTAGTGATCTAATGTCTTTGCATGGACCCTGTGTCCCTTACCTGGTTACTGACCCAGACCTGGAGTCTTTCCAGATATAGGTCTTCTGCTTCCTGGCTAGTTGAGCTTAAGGTTTGCTGGCACAGTGTGTGGATGTGTACACATGCATGCACACACATGTACACACAGTTAAGTTCCCTAGGGGAACACAGTCTGGTCTCTCCAACTGCTGGCACTTAGACTTATGGGGCCTGTGAGCCATAGTCCCTCCTCCAGCTGCTGGTGATTAGACCCCAGCAGCACACACCCCACTCCCAATGGTGCATGATCCCTTCCCCTGTTGCTGGCACCCAGATCTCTTTTGTATTCTGGTTGTATTTTCTATTGTTGGCACCTGGGTGTACAGGCCTTGTGACCCGTGGTCTGTTCTCCAGCTGCTGGCAATTGGACATTGTAGCATTCGCATAGGCTAGAGTGAGATTACAAAGGCAAAGTCAATAATAGGATTTAATAAGAAGATAGGGTACACTGTGTTGATCAGGCGTAGGGCTCAGACAAGTGTCCCATGTTTGTTCCTCTGCTATCCATCCTTATCCCTCACTTTCCTTGCCTTTGTCACTTCCCATAAAGATCCCGTAACTTTTACATAACCCCGCAAGTTCTTTCTGTTATTCCATGGTTTTGGTACACTCCAGCAAACCCCCTCAAATGTCCCATCATACTCAGGAAAATCTTGATTTCGACCCTGTCCCCTGAGTAGCTCCTTTTAACAGCCTATCAATCAGTGACTGAAGAGTTCTGGTTTTTGTCTACCTTATTGCCTGCTCATTAGCGTTTGTGTGTCTGTTTGCTTTATTGGTAGCTTTGTTGCTTGTTATTTCTATTACACTGAATAGTCCTTAACTAGATAGCTTAATGAAGCAGATGCTCTTGCAGTCTACGTACTCTTACAGTGCATAGAGAAAAATACTTTTGTTTGTTTAAGGTCCTGGAATCATGCTGGTTTTTGTATTGGTTCTGGTTTTACCTCTGCTATTGAGTTACTGCTATCACTTGCTTTTTTTACTGCTCATTTTCTCAAGCGAAGAGCTCCAGTTATCTTCGGTGAGTTTTCCTGTAGGATTTAATGAAACCTGAGTATTACATGCTTACCAGAGTTGTAATGTTACAGTCCTAGGGGCATGAGTTACTTGCTTGTATAGATTTCTTATGTCTCTGAATGGTGCTAAGAGCTTCAGCTCTCTGCCTAGGGTGGAAACCTTCTGGCAAAGACGGTTGGTGAGCTTGCACTAAAAATAATGTTATCCAGTTGGTTGTGTGCTCAAGGTCCTGTCTTTAGTTGACAATGAATAGCAAACACAAATGAGTTTGCAGTGTTACAGCATAACAAATGCCAGCCTACTCTAGAGATAAAGTGTAGTGACATCAGGCCAATCCGTGTACGAGTCTGGTGAAAACATAGTATTTATAACAAAAAAATAAATAAATTATTGAGGTAATGCTGTGTAAAATCAGTAGAATTCTATTCTAGCCCCTAAGTTTCAGAAGCTGGACAAAATGAGGGCAGTAGTTTTATTTAGAAGAAATGTTGTCTTGCAGTTAAGGGTCTATAATTGGAAATCTCAAGAGATAGTCTGTTCCCTTTGTGTACTGCT